GCTCATACCGCCGTCGTCGGCAACCTCTGTGGTCGGAGAGGGAACACTGGGAACAGCCGCTTCCAACTACATGTGGTCGTCAGAACATACTCCCGGGGTAACTGATGCGGTTGACGCCCGTCCCGTTGGTGAAACTGGTTAAACTGTACTCACCCACCACAGGTCATGGAGCTCCGTTACAGCAACATTCCTAGGTCTTATCAGCGCAGCCGCCACCACAGCAAGGTATGTACCAGGAAAGGCGACTGTTGGCACCCGCTTTTCGTGCTAGACGGAACGGAACCCAGCCAGAGAACTCCCACGGCCCGCTTTCGCCGTGAGTCGAACCCCGGTTCCAGAGCTGAGTTTCGTCACCTTTCGACGAAGTGGGAACCAGGATGGTAACCTATACGGGGTAGGATATTTTTCGACGAAAACAATGACTACGTGGTACAAATAAAAAGAGGTACACAAAAAATAGAACCAAAAAAAAAAATTACATACACGTTTTGGTTTGAAACGTCGCCGTTAAAGAGTTCTAAGGGCGTTACAGAAGAATCTGACAAAATTGGAATATTTAATTGCTCGCACTTTCCGAATAGTTTGGGTCCCGTTCCTCCAATTTTGGAGTTATTATTATTCCTCGACAGTTGCAAAGTGAGTATGTCAACTTTAGGGGCCTCAAGGCCCCACCCCTTCCCCACAGTCTTGGACGAGCCGTTGTTACCTATCAACTTGTCACGGATGTCAGCGCCCCCTGCCTACCGACCGGCGGCGTGCTTGTGCTTCGTGGAATGTCGCGAAGACGTACGCGAGACGTACGTACAGGCTGGTCGCTGTGCCCCGTCCCAGCAAACGCTTATACTAGCCGGCATGCACGAGTGCTCACGGGTTTGCCTATCGTCTGTACTTATGCGGCGTCTTATAGCCCCGTGCTCCTGGCGACCCGTCCGCACGTCTGCATGCGTGAGCAATATAAGCAAAATAAAGGGAGGAGTCTATGGACCACCATGTAGTTTCCAAACCCAACTTATCAGAGTGGATTTTGCTAAAACTGATCGAAGCACCTACACGCCCAACCACTTCAGGCCCATTTCTGCAGAAATGAAGAGAATTCTAACAAAACTGTCGCCATAACGAATGAATGCAGGCGCCATGGTGTTAACGTTGCCTCGTAGAACCCCCATTGTGGGGCACCTTGAGCTCCTTTATATTTTTAAGTCCGAAGACAAGTTATGCAACATTGTTTCTCTGCTTCAACTTTAGCGCAGCGCGAATAAATTTGATTGCGGACAGTAATCCTCCCCGTGACTCCATAAGCTGCACTGGCAATCCTGGCTCCAAGGTGTCTTCTGTAACAATATATTATTTCCGACTCCGTCTCATCTCCCTGCACCAGCCCCCTCGCTCGCTTCTTTAATGTCATAATCCCCTCCGCGCCCCCTGCCTGCCCACCCCATCCCACGAAACCCCAATCCCCAGGCCCAAACTCAGCTCCTGCACCAGCAGCGTCACCGCTCGCCAAGAGAATACGTTTAGCCACCTTCCCCATAAATAAATGGAACTGTTTTTGGTTCGTTTTCATCTCTTTTTTTTAATTGATATTTTTTAATTGTGCTGCGGCCGACCGCCAGGACAGGCCGCCGCTTGGTCCAGCAGCCTCGAGGATGTCGCCGTGGGCCGCGCCGGAGGGCAGCTGGAGCAGCAGGGTGAGCAGGGCGGCGCGGGCACAGCGCCCCAGTCTGCAAAGGGGCGGGGCTGGCTGCAGACCAGCATCGTTGACCTACTTACCGCGGCCCCGCCCGGCCCGGCCCGGCACGGCCCCACGCGGCCCGCAGTCCAGTCATCACTCAGATTTCAGTGGCCGCTGCTGCTCAAGGGGCCAACCGAAGGCGAAGGCACTCCGCTTTGCACTCGTACATTGTTTTTCGCCAACACCCACCTCTCCCCCTCCTCCTTGAAAGTGCGCTACTTGTGTGGCAGCTGTATCAATGAACCTGCCACGCCCCTCTCTGCCACGGCAGCGCTCTCTCTCCCCCTCTCCC